AAGAGCAATTTATACAAAGGATGTAGCTCATTTATGTCAATATTCCCATCCTTAATCCATGATGTTGATTTCCTACTAGCGAGTGATAATTTATCTCTTTGATTTTAGCTTTCCTTAATCATCCGACAACAAACCTCGCCAAGATCGTGCAATAGCTATGTCCGAAATAACATTCTCATCCAGATTCATAAAGGTACTAAATTGGTTAAATATGTCTAGTTCCTTCACCTTATCTTCCTCTATAAATAAAGGATCAATCGAAGACTATGAGTAAGAAGCTCTTGGATAATGTCATGTCGTGATGTCTCTTCTCTATTATCACCCGGATTCATACCTATTTCTTTCTGTCTAGTAAACACCAATTTCGACATACCTGCAATATCCTTCCAAATTTTTATTGTCTCTATCTAGATATCTTCCTTTCTTGTGAGATCATTATTTTTGTTCACAACGAGAATCCACACATCGAGTGTATAACTCTTTTGCTTTCTTTTATTAATATCTTTATCTCCTTATAATTTTTTTATACTCGCTTATCATTATTCTTCATTGTTGCCATATGAAAAGTCTTAAGGATATAGTTTGGTTGATCATATGTTTCCTTTTCCAACCCTCTATCTCTAATTTTCTTATATTGTTGTTTATTATCTTTCTTTACCGGAATTCCTTTAGCTTGATCGGATGTACCAACTTTTATCTCTTACATAGGCTAGAATACATGTCACTTGTTGGTGTGTTCTTTTACAATAATTCCCTACCAAGTGACCAATTAATCTACACCCTTCACAAAAAAAATGACATTACCTTTATACTCTACCTTCGCCAAAAACCTTACTATTTAAAAGTTCCTATCCAAATTCTTAACGGGAGAGGTTTAGATACATCAAGCTCAAGACATATTCTAGTAAACATAGAATGAATGAGCATCATGGTTCTGCCATCCGCCCTAAAAAAATAACCTATAGATTCTCCCACTCTTTGAAGATAGATTGAAGTAAGAAAATAAAAGAGGAAGGTGAGGTAAGCTTACCTAAACTTCCACATGTGGGCAATCCCTATAAAAAGAAAAGTCCGGTGTCCGACGAAACAAAAGGTACATGCAATTAAAGATCTTATGATCTTCTTATGATAGAGTTATAATCATTTCTTCCTAATTGCCTAGATGAACCATTACATGTCTAGGATCAAGTAAACCAATTATGGGATCACTCTTTAGATTCTATGATCCACGAATATGGTTTTGTATATCATTGACTAGAGGTCTTCTATTAGAGAATTTTAGAATAATAGTGAACTAAAACTATTTAGATGTAACTTCCATCTCCATCAAAGAAAAAAGCACATTATCTCTCTATTTATTGCAAGCCTTGGTGCTAATAGGAGGTTTGTCAATAAAGAAATAGGTCACACATGTGTTGTATTTACGTTCTATAAAATTATAACGAGCATAGTTTACTTGTTTATTTTATTCTGCTGTAATGTTTTCTCGTCTCCATATTATCATTTTATATTTGATTGCTTGTATTCACAAATCCATTTGTCGTATTTCAACCACTTGTTGCCGATGTGCATTTTAATTATAACACATTATAGGTTTCATAGGGTTCACCACCTTATACAAAGTCTTAGTTTCTTTTAGTCGATGAGAAAAATTAGGGTCAAAGGGAACCCTAAGTTTATTTACAACTCCTATAGATAAAGACAAAGGAGGAAAAACCACATCAAAATGTATTTTTCTCGATTTAGTGGTGGTATAGCCACACGTACAATATGAAAAAAAAAAAACCCTAGGGTAGGGAAAATGCTTAGGTTCATATGTTAAGAGCTTTTTTTTTTTAGAAGTTTTTTCTTAACTCCAATAGAAGTTACCTGAATGAATGAAAACTAACTTCACCTTGTAATCCATTTGATTAAATAACTCTTATCTTGATCAAATCATTACCGATGCAATTATCAAACAAATATACTAATAAATTTAACATCTTTCATTTAAATTAAATAAAAAATACTATATTTCTATGTGAATCAATTAAAAAAGACTCATTAATATCAAGCATCCATCATGTTTGCATGTGCACCTAAGTGTATTCTTATCTTACATAAACTTATGTCACTTTATTCAAGAATCTATTCTCAAATTATATTTTTTTAAATCATCCAAGAATCTCAATTTATCTATTTTTTTTAGCAAGCAATTACAAGCATTAATTATTTAATAAAGCAAATAATGTACAAAGTGAAAATCATAATCAAGAATCAATCAATTAAACAAGCTTCCTGTTTTAGATCTATTATAAACCTAGAAAAATAATTAGTTCATGTTCAACATATTGAAAACCAACATCTTAATCATGGATATAGAATAGAATAAATAAAAAATAAAATAAAAATAACAAAGACACTTATGATTTTTTAGAAAGTCAATAAGAACTACAAGAATCTTGACGAGTATTAATGTTGTCTCGTTGTTATTTGTTCCCTTCAATCTCATTTCTTTTCTATTCTCATTTCTTTCTTTGTCTATCTCGATCTTTTTTTTTTTTTTTTTTTTTTTTTTTTTTTTATCATAACAAGCTTCCTTTATATGTAACACATGTTTCCTTTTTTATATTAGGATTATAGGGTTTACCTAATCCTATTATCAATCTATCCAACTTGTACTTTTGGCCTAATTTTCTTTAAGATGCGAGCGGATCCGAACCAAATTTAACGCATATAAATTGTATATTTATCTTTTAGCTTTTTTTTTTTTTTTTTGTGGTAAGAATTGCATGAATTGGATCTTTTTACATAAAGTTACGCTCATAATATTCGAGTATGTTCAAATTTAAAATTTTTTTCTCTTGAATTTCTTTATGCCTTTCATCTAATTGCATAAAATCTTCTCCAAAATGTCCTATAATATGAATTTACAATATTAAGTACAATATCAAATAACCTAATGAATAATTAACATCAAAATTATCACTTAAGAGGTATGAAAATATGTATGAATATGATCTTATCAAAGTTCCATCTTTCTAAAGATGAACTATCTTGAAAGCCCGACTTTTAGGATATGAGAGATAGGTGGAAAAGCCTAGATTCTATGGTTATAGTAATCTTTGCTCGACTAAAAAAAGGTGGTGGGTTTCTTGGCCTTTAGCAAATGTTTGGGCTTAGGATTTGATGATGACGTTTTTAAAGAGGAGTTGTTTTTGTGATATTTTCTGTGGTGGCTCCTAATAGGGCCATTCTTATTCTTTGCATTATGTTGATATTCTTTCTTCTTTTCTTTCTCATTTGCCCTATAGAATCTTTGACTAATCGCCTCTTTGTCGTGATGATGGGAATAACTTTTTTAAGATTTAGGAAAATGATGGTGCTTTCTTCTTTCGCTTTTTATTTCATCTCACCTTCCTACTTCCTCCTCAACACGGCAATGATTATATCTAAGTTGATAGGAGAAGAGTAGAGTTCTTTATGTGTGTGGTGTAGCTTATAATAGCACAAAGGTTTTTGGCATAGGGTTGTGTTGAGGTAATTATGGCATTCATAGTGATTGTGGAGGAGTAGTTAAGGGTTTTATAAGCTTTTTGACACTAAAAAAGGTCTTTTTTTTAGAATGAGTTGATGTTTCTTGATTTTTGACCATAGGAAAAAGCTTGCAGATTAAAAGATGATTTGAGGTTTGGCTTATTGATTAATTTCTCACAAACAACTGAGGTTTGAATCCCGAAAATAGTATTGTTGATGATGTAGCTTTCTTTATGGCTAAAATGATAATGATTGACGATAATGGATAATGATTCAAAAGCTAGAAGTGCATACAAAATAAGTCCTCATAATGCATTCGAGAACTCTCCGATGACTAAATAAGTGTATGAAAAGAAAAGATGTGTAAATAAATTATAATCTTACCATGGGTATGTATAAGACATGTTAGTAGTTAATCAATTGAGGGAGAAAGAGAGGAACCCTTAACTTCAGTCCGATGACTCTTTTTATAGCCAAAGGTGTCATTAAGTTCATAGAGAAGAAGGTATAATGATATATTTTTTTATTGTCAATAAATTTTGACATCAAATTAAGAGACAAAGGTCTTTTTTTTTAAAAAAAAAAAATTTATTTGATGATGTTTATGTTGTCATCGTTGGTGTCGATTGTTCAAAAATAATCCGCAAAACATGCCTCATTAAATGAATGTACTTTTTATCTTGCTAGCGGGTGAAATGGCATCTTGGTCGACCGGGCTGAACTTCAAAACTTATGCCGTGAGGTGCACCATGTTAGGACTACTTTCGTCCGAGGTGAAATCCTGTGTAAAATAAAAGAGGTGTATAATGCCACGTGTTACTCAAGTATATCATATTATAAATATATTGTCATTCTTTCTTGAGCTATTTTCTCCCCTTCATGTATTTATGAATGACACGATTTGGTTGGGTATTCAATACTTCGATCCAACATGATCTTACATCCATATAGAGGTCGTGATGTTGTTGTCACAGAACAAATAACATTGGGGATAGAGGTGGCAATAGCAACACCTTAGAAGCCGAGTTGACCAAGGTATCCTACAAATATCACAGACAAGAATTTGTAGTAGGTACTGGAACACCCAAAAACCATTGGTGCAGCTATCTTGCTAACCGTCGTTAGCTCTTTCGTAAATCCACCCCTTGTTATTGACCATTTCCTCTCTTCGCTGATCCCTTTTACGTCTTTCATAAAGTGGTGAACTTATTATGTTTCGAACGAATCAATAGAGTCTACTCCTTTCCTCTTCGCTGAGTGTCCTTTTACGATTGAAATAATATTTTGTAAACAACGCTGGAAATAAATCGTGAAAATAAAAGACATGAAAAACAAAAACAACGTTTTCCACCCGCAAATCTTATGGGAGTGTGTTTCAAGTGGAATAAGAAGATGGCAACAGCCACAGTCCACATGACATCAATCATCATCTGGCCGTTGAAAACAAAGATCAATTGATCTTCTTGTAAACTGCTACTACTACCATGACCTCTTTGCAACAACTCACCAATACAGGTATAACAGCAACATCACTCCAATACCACCACCACCGCCGCCGCTCTCGCTTGCACAGAACAGACCTTAAACGACACCAAAGCTTTAACTCCCTCTACTCAAGATCATCTCTCTCTCTTTCGTACAAAACCCACTCCCTACCTGATGTTACCAGTCGCCCCTCATTTCTCCAAGAAATAGCCGCTCTCTGTGAAGCTAATAACCTCACTGAAGCTTTAACTCTTATTCAGCCACACTTTGAGAATGCTGCTTTTACTTCTTTACAAGCAAAAGAAGCAATCGGTCTATTGCTTCAAGCCTGTGGTAACCGAAAAGATATTGAGACTGGTAGACAACTACACAAGTTTGTTTCAAAGTCGACCCATTATAGAAATGATTATGTTCTCAATACCCGTCTTATTACAATGTATGCAATGTGTGGGTCTCCTTTGGATTTTCGTTTAGTGTTTGATACCATGGAAACTAAGAATTTGATTCAGTGGAATGCACTTGTTAGTGGATACACAAGGAATGGACTTTATGGTGATGCAGTTAAAGTTTTCGTGGATTTGATTTCGGATACAGAGTTTGAGCCTGATAATTTTACTTTCCCTTGTGTGATTAAGGCTTGTGGTGGGATTTTTGATTTTGGGTTAGGAGAGGTGATTCATGGGATGGTGATTAAGAAGGGTTTGGTTTTGGATATGTTTGTGGGCAATGCATTGGTGGCAATGTATGGGAAATGTGGAGTTGTGGTTAAGGCGATGAAAGTGTTTGATTTTATGCCTGAGAAGAACTTGGTTTCGTGGAATTCGATGATTTGTGCACTTTCTGTAAATGGGTTTTCTAGAGAGAGCTTTGATCTGTTGATGGAAATGTTAGAAGATGAAAGATTGTTGCCTGATGCAGTGACGGTGGTGACTATATTACCTGTTTGTGCAGGAGAAGCAGAAGTTGATATAGGAATGGGGATTCATGGGTTTGCTGTGAAACTAGGCCTGAGCGAAGAGGTGATGGTGAACAATGCTTTGGTAGACATGTATTCAAAATGCGGGTACTTGAATGAAGCGCAGATCTCATTTGAGAAGAATAATAACAAAAATGTGGTTTCTTGGAATACCATGATCAATGGTTTCTCTTTGGAAGGAGATGTCACTGAGGCATTTAATCTTCTGCGGGAAATGCAGATCCAAGGAGAGGACATGAAAGCTGATGAGGTCACCATTTTGAATGTTTTGCCAGCTTGTCTGGACAAGATGAAATTGAGGAGCTTGAAAGAACTTCATGGTTATTCATCGAGACATTGTTTTCAATATGAAGAATTGTCCAATGCTTTTATTTCAGCCTATTCTAGGTGTGGGACACTGAATTCTGCTGAGAATCTCTTCCATGGTATTAGGGATAAGACTCTGACCTCTTGGAATGCGCTTATTGGTGGTTATGCACAGAATGGTGATTCTATAAAAGCTTTGCATTTGTTCTTTCAGATGACATGTTCTGGCCTAGGACCTGATTGGTTTACAATTAGTAGCTTGCTTTTAGCTTGTGCCCACCTGAAATCCCTGCAGTATGGTAAAGAGATTCACGGATATGTACTACGGAATGGACTTGAAACTGATTTATTTGTTGGTACCTCACTTCTGTCCCACTACATTCACTGTGGGAAATCATCTTCTGCACGTGTATTGTTTGACAGGATGAAAGATAAAAATATAGTATCTTGGAATGCAATGATTTCAGGTTACTCACAAAATGGACTACCATATGAAGCCCTGGCTCTATTTCGAAAATCACTCTTAGATGGAATACAACCTCATGAGATTGCCATAGTGAGCATGTTTGGGGCTTGTTCTCAACTGTCAGCTCTACGTCTGGGAAAAGAAGCTCATGGTTATGCATTTAAAGCCCTCCAAACAGAAGACATTTTTGTAGGCTGTTCAATCATTGACATGTATGCAAAAAGTGGCTGTATAAAAGAGTCTCGCAAGGTTTTTGATGGGTTGAGAGATAAAAACGTAGCATCATGGAATGCAATAATTGCAGCACATGGAATTCATGGACAAGGAAAAGAGGCAATAGAACTGTATGAGAGAATGAAGAAAGTTGGTCAAATGCCAGATGGATTCACATATATTGGCATTTTGGTTGCATGTGGTCATGCAGGGCTGGTTGAAGAGGGGCTGAATTATTTCAAAGAGATGCAGAATTTCAATGTGATTGAACCAAAATTGGAGCATTATGCATGTCTTATTGACATGCTGGGCCGTGCTGGAAGATTGAATGATGCTCTAAGTCTTGCCAATGAGATGCCGGAGGAACCAGATAATAGAGTCTGGAGCTCATTGCTCAGTTCCTGTAGAACTTTTGGTGCTCTGGAAATTGGAGAGAAAGTTGCCAAGAAGTTACTAGAATTAGAATCACAAAAAGCAGAGAACTATGTGTTACTTTCGAACTTATATGCTGGATTAGGGAAATGGGATGACGTGCGGAGGGTGAGGCAAATAATGAAAGAGATTGGCCTTCAAAAGGATGCTGGCTGTAGCTGGATTGAGCTTGGAGGGAGAGTTTATAGCTTCGCTGTTGGTGATAGTTTGCAACCAGAATCAGAAGAGATCCGGGTAATATGGAGAAGATTGGAGGAAAAGATTAGTGAAATTGGATATAAACCTAACACAAGTTCTGTGCTGCATGAAATAGGGGAGGAGGAGAAGATAGAAATATTGCGGGGGCACAGTGAAAAACTTGCAATTTCTCTTGGATTGTTAAAGACGACTAAAGGTACAACCCTGAGGATTTACAAGAATCTACGCATTTGTGCAGATTGTCATAATGCTGCTAAGTTAATATCAAAGCTCGTTGAAAGAGAGATAGTTGTGAGAGACAACAAGCGCTTTCATCATTTTAGAGATGGATTTTGTTCATGTTGCGATTATTGGTGAAGTGCTATGAAGAAGTTTTTCATAGCTGCTTGGCTGAGTAATTTAGTTCTCAATGATTCACAACAAATTACAGGTAAACGTTTGCGTTTGAGTTTTGAATATTACTCAATTTTCATTATCCTTGTGGGCTGTGGCTTCTGATATAGGATAAGGTGTAATTCTATCACATCTTGGGTAGTTTCAAGAATTTGAATAACTCATAAAAAATGAAAGAAAAAGAATTTGAGTAAAGTTTTTTATTATGCCCAAGGTGCTCCCTGCATCCTGTGTCTCTGAATTAGCTTTCACTTTTCATCGCATGCTACACAAGAAGCTATTATAGTCAGTTTTATGTTATTTGGCTGCTGGTATGAGTTAGCGTTTTTAAAAACATAATGGCATATCCATGGAGTTACTGCACAAATTGGTAGGAAGATTCAGTTAGTTAGTTAGTAATCTCGAAAAGAAAGAAAGTTAGAATGAACTAGCAAGTCCTACATGTTTTCTATTAGTTACAAAAGAACTTGAGCTTAGGATTGTAAGATATCTTTTGCCATTTGTGATTCTCTATCTCTCTGAATTCTCTTTTCTAATAATGTTTTTTCCTGATATTTCTTCTTTCCTTTTCTTCTCACTGGACTGAATCTATTATTGGATCAGTATTTCTTCATAAAAACCTCTCCTATATTACCTAAACTCCATCTCTAAATTGGGCCACATCAATTGGTAGCAGAGTACTTTCTTGGCATTGTGGGAGAACGTTGCGGTCATTAACAGTCATGGTTGAGAACATTCTTGAATCTATAAGAACTTTTGGAGATGAACAATAGTTGTTGATGACAAAACATGGTTGAGAACATTCTTGGATCTACAAAAACTTTTGGAGATGAACGAAAGCAGTTGATGACAGAACAAGGATTATTGTCGAGGAAGATGGAGGTCTTGTTGGGTGATCTGAAAAGGCAAATGAAAGATTTTATCAATCAAGAACAAGAAGAGCTTGTGGCAGAATTCCAAAGTGTAGAGAATCAAAGTACAGCATTCAAGAAGGGCATCATCATAGTCCGAAACCTTGAAACAACCTCAGGTCCTGGGCAACGAAGTCATCCTTCCAAAGAAGGTTCACAATTTTCACCAAAATTTCATTTACTAAGAATCAAAATTATTGACAATTGAGCTATTTCTAGACAATAAAGTAGGTCAATTTCTTGATACTAAGTTCGTGGTTTTTGATTGTACAAAGTCTTTGAAGGTTAGTTGTGTAAAGAACAATGATAATAATAGTACAGGTTGTTCAATTGATAATGATTTCGAAGTAAACACATTACTAGTTGAAATGAACAAACTTTCATATGCAAGTGGTTATATTTTGACAAGAAAACAAGTTTAATACAGCAACAACCTCACTGTTATGCTGACAGCATTGAAATGTTTGAAAAGTATGACGTGTTCCTAAAATTTCGGTAGCTGTTAATCACAGGAGTTGTTCTACGGAATTATAAGACTAGAAAAATGAAAAAATGTGGGTGCAGATTACTTGGTGACAGACCATCCATTAGGGCCAACTTCCTTTTGACGTTGTTATGTTACTGTTTACTCTAGTAGATGTAATATTAGATTTGCAACAGAGTCTAAGTGAATTGGAACTTTGAAGACATTAAAGCTGGAGTTCAGTACTTTAAATGAGAAACCAATTGAAAAAGTTTTTGCATGTACTATCATACAATGAAATGTACCTATAAACAAAACAGCTCAAGCAATGATGAGCCTTGAGGACAAGGTTCTTTAAGCAGGGGTATTGTTAATTTGTTACAGTACAAATTGGTAGGAAGAATCAGTTAGTTAGTATTTTTGGAAAGGAAGTTAGTTGGAATAAGCTAGCTAGCCCTACATGTTTTGTAGTAGCTATAAAAGAACTTGAGCTTAGGATTGTAAGGTATTTTTTTGGCATTTGCGATTCTTTCTCTTTGAATGAATTCTCTTTTCTAGTAAAGTTTCTCCTTGATATATATCTCTGGAATGAATCCATTATTGGATCAGTGTTTCTTCATAAAAACCTCACCTGTATTACCTAAACACTATCTCCAAATTGGGCCATTGTTTGATGGATTTGGTTTTTCTGGAACTACATTTCTCATTCTTACATGCAGTGAATATTTACGAGTATGACTATATTCATCACAGAAATTTAGCATTTATCTGTCTTGTCTTATCGCTTTTGTTGACATAAAGATGTCTCCACACTGTTTCAGCACAAAGAGTGTAATTGTTACAATTGCCAATCTCTAATATTAATGTGTACATTGAAACCCCAAGTGCAACATGATTATTAAATCTGCTGCCCAGAGTGTGGCTGAGGCAATTAAGACCATAGAAACAGGTATCTTCATCCATCATTTTGCCCTTTTTTCTATTTTGTATGAATCCAGTATTAATCAAAATGATTTACTAATATATATTAAAAAAAAAAAGAACTATTTAATTCTATATCACCTCAGTGTGTTGGCTGAGGGTGCGAGGAGAAATTCGTTCTTAGGTTGGATTAATTCCGTTGGCAGAGATGTCTTAAACTTCAATTTCAAGAATCTCTTCGGATCAATGTGGTCTGAAAACTGCAATATTAATAATAATAATAAATAAATAAGAAAAGAAAAATAAGAACTTCTACGAATCTAACATTTTGGAGGCAGGTTTTGGTTAATTTATCTATATTCAGATAAGTGGCAAGCTCTGTTTCATCCCCAATCTATCACCATTTTCTCAATTGGGTCCCAAAATAAATTAGGTTCAAGAACTATCTAGGATTCCTCAATTATGTTCTTCTGTCTAAAATCATTGTAAATGTTTGACAGAAAACGTTACAGTTTCTTAAATACACTTCGTTTTATTTTATATAAATATAATACGTACTTTGGATGAAAAATATTAACGGATTGGTTAGGGGGACCTAATTGATAATTTATCATACAAAAGAGACCCAGTTGACAAAAGAAATTCTTCGGAGGCCTAATGGAGAATTGGTGTATATGTTGGGCACTTAATTAATTGAGGTTACCTTTCAAATAATAAAGAAGCAAAATTAGTTTAATTTATAACAAAAGTGAAAGCCAAAGCCGATAAGAAAAATTATACTCTAATAATTATGGCTTCACCGCAAGCAGCTGCACCAGCACCAGCACCACCCCCTCCTCCCGTCTCCCAAACCGTTCCCTCTCCACCACCACCATTACCAACAGCAGTTGTCCCCAAGGTATCCATATATATATATATATATATATATATATATATATATATATATTTCCTATTGTAATAGTTAATAAAATATTGATTGAAGTATTTTGGCAATGTTTTGGAAGGTGGAGGAGAAGAACCCAAGCGATAAGGTCGAAGAAAAGCCTGACAGTTCACATTTTAAGTTAGCTGCCTTCTTCTTCTTCTTCGTTTTGTTTGCTTTGCTTCAGGAGAAGAAATTGGACTTCGATTTAATTCATCACAAATAAATCGTTTTTGCTTTGTGTTTTCCGTTTAATTTCTCTGCAACCAAACTGCGATGATAAAATTGATATTACTTTCCACTCCATTTTTACTGATTGAATTCAATATCATGATTTTTAATTTTTTTTATTACCAGATAGATAAGAAAGGAATTGTTAGGACTATTTTATGCAATTTGTATATGCTTAGACTGATTTCATACATCTTGATTGATAAATGTCTGGTACTTAATAAATATATGTTGGTTCTCAACAATTGTTATGACATTTCCTGCTGCAAAGAACGTTAGATATCTTGTGTCGATTATTGAAATAGGTATCTGATTTGTATGTTGACATGTTAACTACCCCACAAACTCTCATAGCCTCATAAGTTGGGATATGCTGGGGATTTAATCATTTACCAACTGTCCTGTTGTTCTATGACAACCCATTAATTTGGAGGAAAAAAAAACCGTCAATGCCCAAACCGAGGTCTGCAATCGTGGTTTATTTTAATGTAATTCTTTTTATCCACTACTATATTCCGGCTGTTAGACATTAGAAATTGTTTGGGGAAGCATGGATCTATTTTTAGAATGGGATGGTTGCTAGTTCATGAGGAAGTAGAAAGGTTGGAGGAGGTGGTCATCTGGTAGACAGATACTTGCTGCTTGGTATGTTATCCAGGGATGGACAGGAACAGTGGGGAATTTTAGCTGAATTCAGTGTTTTCAAAGGCATTATCTTCATGTCGTTTGATGTCCTCTTTTTATTTTAATTTATTCCATTTACTTTGAAATAATTTGAACAAGTTTTGATGTATCTATTAAAGAAACTTCTCTGTCACAAAATACTTTTTATGTATCTCCTCTGTTTAGTCTGTCTGTCATGATGCAGACCATTTAAATTTTTAGAGTTCTTAACATATGTTGCTTTTTATGTTCAGCTATGAGTATTGTATTCTGAACTAGTCACATGCAACAGCATTGAGTAAACTTGTCCATTAAGATTACAATGTTAACTGTTTTATCCTTGAAACATATTGAGCTGCACCAGTAATGATTTACTCGTTTCTAATTTCTGGATCTGCATGGCAACGTAACCAATGCCCACCATTGGTAGGATTCTTGACAGTGTGGAGTACATTGACAAGTGCAAAAAATATGAAGCTGACTACACGCAACGCCTGATGGCGAAGTATTTCTCTAAGAAGGATCTTTATGGAGGTAAACAGTTTTGCCAATAATTCATGCTCCACATGTTTTAACATAAAAGTATGATGTTTTCAACTGATGTAGGTCATCAAATATCTTTTGACTCTATATTGCTTGTTATAACTTTGCTCATTCTAGTGGCATCTTGCAGATAAGAAGTTAATTTCATATAGTAATTGTTTTGGTTCTCCATTTTGTTTGACCAAGTTCATGTTCAACTGTTATGCAAAGTGCAATGCTAGAATTTTAATTTCGTAATACTTGGATGTAGGATCGTTATTTTTACAATGGTTGTACTTGTGAATGATTTGATATGACAGTTGGATATGCTGTCATAAATGTTATTACTTTTTTATTATGCTGAATCTGTTCTTTTTAGTCTCTTAACATATTATTGCTGTCATAGATATTATTACTGTTTTATTATATTGACACTGTTCTCCTTTCAGGCAACATATTTGATGAGAAAATGACAATCGATGATGAGACAATAATGTCAAGCAGGTAAGGAGTAAATTTCTATTGCTTAATTGTGCTTCGCATTGCGTATCCTGTGTCATAATTTAACTTCACTTTGATATCTCTCTCTAGGTGGCCTTGTACTCTATCATTTGCAGACCCAGTGAAGAGTTTTGAGGAACAGAGCAACACCGGTTCAACTTCAACATCAGAAGCCTGAATAATATCTCAAATGGAAGTACCGACTGATCTAGATGTTGGTGAAACAGTTTCTTCCCTGTTCTAAAATTTGTTGTAGTATATGATGGATGCTGCTGACAAAATATAGGAGAAATGAACTAAATGATTTTCCGTTCAATCTTGAGAAATGGCAGTCATCATGCAGCTCTAATCTTGATCTCGAATTAGAATGCTATTTAGGACCACTGGATCCAATATTGACCCAAATTTATTGTCATCGGAAACATGCAGTGGATGTAGAGGATGTCCTGTGACTCATGTCTATCTTTTGCTAGTTGATATGTGAGAGTAATGCATAGCATTAAACTGATGTAGAGTGGAATGAAGATTTTCAAATGCCGTACTTTAGGCACTTATAATTCTGTTTAATCTGGTTGCAATCTTATGCCAAGTTGCCAACAATAACAGTCCTCTTTTTTTTTTTTTGTGGTCAATGTAACCCTTTTCTCGGTGGATGTCATACCTTAATCTAGCATAACATATAAAAGTAAATGAGAAATTGAAATATAACAAGAAAGCATTTTGGTTGAAAGCGTAAGGGCTACAAAAGCCACACTGGAATTCGATTGAAGGCTTCCCGTAGATTATTACATGATCAGCCGCATCAACTTACAATAAAGGAAGGAATTTTGTGCCATATCCCACCGACCATCTTCATTGAATTAAATATCAATTTAATGTGGATTTATCAAATGATGATGATAATAATAGTAACAAAAGAAAAAAAAACCAATAAATAAAAAATCATCCCATCCGATTTAATCAATCAATAAGGAGATACATTCAAGTAAAATTGATCAATCTCAAACAAGCATTGTTTATGAATTAAGAGATTCTTTGTCGGTCATCGGGTTGCTAGGTGGTAATGTTTTCGTTTCTGAATTTCCTTAGGCTCTTCTGATAAATTTCTAGTCAATATTTTACTACTAAAGCTAAAGCTAAGCTTGCAAAATCATCTATGAAGAAAGTAAACAATATTAAAGCAAATGATTGGCAATACAGAAGACATAGTATATATATATATATTCACTTCCATTGAAGATTCACTGTACTTTTGTTACAGCAAAGTGCTCGGTAGCAAGCGTACACACTCGTAATTATCAGGATGGCATGAACTTCTAAATAATAATAGCACCACAAACAAAGCAAACAGGCAAGACCATTCTGAAAGAAAATAAATAATTATATAAAAAAAAAAAAAAATGAAAACTTAGTAATCAAATATTGATCAGCTACCCAAAAGCAACCTCTCTTATGTTTTTACGATCACTTTTTTCCTTTTTCAATTCACTGTTTTATTAACTCAAGATATCTATATGTCCATGCTTGAAACTGTATGCTGATGGATTCATCGGTTTGAAGGTTCACCTTTGAGACGATTGTTGTTGCATTCGCCCTCTTCCACGTTTCTCAAAGGGGTCAACAGGTCAGATAGAACAACTTGAAGAGAAGAAACTTTCTCTTTAAGTTGGGAATTTTCTTGAAGTATCTGGTGGTTACTTTCTAGTAAGTGGATAACCTTCTCAGAGAGCTGATGGTTCATGTTTTGAAGCTGATTAACCCGATACTGGAGATCTTCAATTTGCTTCTTTCTGCGCATCCGAGATCTTCGAGCAGATTCTCTGTTGGATATCATCCTCCTTAGCTTCTTCTCATTGCAAATACCGAGCTGTTGATCTCTTGGTTCAATTAGGGTAGAGTCTGCACTGAGAGATGATGTGTTTGGAGAGAGAATATGAAGTGGGACATGAATTAGGGAATTGAAGAGACTTGAGCTGGATTCTGGATTTTCAGATAGATCTGCCTGTGATGGGGTGTGATTTGTGGATTCAATAATGGGCTGCATTTTCATATTGGTCACAAGAGGATATTGTTTTTGTATGGGATTAGGGAAAGTGAATAGATTCTGAAGCGAGTTCGCATGAGGCAGACAATGGAATTTCTTGATCTCATGCGGCTCCATGACTATTATTGATAACTGACTTGGACACAGAGAGGCAGATTGAAGGAAGAAATTGGGTTTTTAAAGATGATCCTTTAGCAAATATGAGTAGTAGTAGTTTCTTGTCATACAAGTATAATATCCATCTATAGTAATTGTAGCTAGAATTGGTCTGCATGAAATTAAAGCATGAACCCAAATATGGAACTTTTTTATAATATTGTCAACATCAACTTCAATTGATGTTCTTATTAAGGATACGTGAACGATCAAATTAAGAGAGGAAATGACCAAATTTTCTACCTTTGATAATGCTAAAAAAACCAACCTTGAACATAAAGGAGGCAAAATGACCTTTAAATTCGCAACTTCTTGGACCTCAATTAGTTTCATTTTTATGATTGTCATGATTAATTTCGGCTATTGAATGCAAGAAGTTTTCAAATAGTTGTGTTGCAGAAAGTTGTAAGTTGGGGCTGAAATGAACTAATTGCTTTCTTCACGGTAATGCCCTTAATCGCAGATTTTGAGGAATTCAGCAGATACAATATTTCAAATAATTTACAACTTTTCCCAACGCTTATTACATGTACTTCAATTTGAAGGCACTTTTTTTTTTTTTTCTTCTTCAATTTGCATTAGCAAGTGAAATGGTTACATGAAGGAATTTAATTGGAATTGGATTTCGTAGGACACATGAGTGCAAGTAAATTAAGATGAGGGAAACAATCAACTTCGTTAAGGCTCAGCTTAATTTGATTAGGGAAATAATCAGGACAATTTATAGCGGTATCCATTTAATGCAAAATAAGGTATGAGAGATCAAAAAGTAACCTTGTTAAGTTGTGTGCTGTAGGAATTTTTAATGACGGTAAATGAATTTTGACAAACAACCGTAAAAGTATGTGACTGGACTTCAATTGCTAGCTTTGTAGCTTACTAAATTTGAAAACAATAATTAAAAAAAAAAAAAAGTCATGAAATCACTTACTAGTGATTTTGGACTCGTGCATCCACACATTCTTCAAATTATTGAAATAAATTTTAGCATTTTTGAAAGCATAACATATTAATTTCGTTAAATTAACTGCCATGAACAATGTATAATTACTAAAGAAGAACACCATTTCATGAAAAATATAGGAAAAAAACCATGAAAACTTAATGTAATTCAAAAAATGAATCCTTTAAAAGTATAATATGTTATGTATTAACTGAAAAACCCATTAATAATTTTGTTTACATTTATTGTTTTAGAGAAATATTATTTTATGTGAATGATTGTCAGTCTTTCCATTTTTTATTTTTTTAATATCATGAGGTAGTTTCAGATAGTAAATATTTGTTTCCTTGTTTCTTGCTAAAAAAACATATTTTCTTCCAATATATATATATATATATCACTTTTTCCTTCATAATATCGAACAAGATTAATTTTAGTAAATGAAGTCAAATCAAATATTTCCAAAGAAAGATTATATGTCACGTATTTTGATAACTATTAAATTAGTAATGAATAAATGAAAGGATTAATGATATAATAATGAGTTCAGGATCAACATATATACTAAAATTTAGAAATGTGGCGCACATTGGCAATGATTATGGTATGTCAGTGGTAGAGTGTGATGGAGTCTCTTATAACGAGTGTACTTACAAAATAAGTCCTTTTGGTTCAATGAAGGGTCCTTTTAGAGTAATACATAAAAAAACATTCCATAAAATTATGCATAAAATGTACTCCTTATGACCAATGATAATGATCATAATCTAAGGATCGACCATGGATTCGATAGGTTCAGAATCCAATCTAGGAGGGACGTTTTGCGATGAGCCATACTCGAGAACATGATGGTAATCGTGTTGGACCGAGGGCACTTATGACGACAAAGGATAAGATGGGTGGGGACGTGGAGGTCTGAAATAAAGAGGGTAGTATGAAGGCATGTCGATGGGGGGAGCCATCCGACCGGGAACAAAAGTAGGACTACGCCACGACCACGGTCACTAGCATCGTTAGTGTATGAACCACGACTCTCACCATATGACATAGGCCACTACATGCGAAAACATCCCCTACCACGAGGCATTATAACCTATATATATATATATATATATATATATATATATATATATATAATTAAACTACAATACTAAAATTCAAACTCTCAATCTTATGAATGACCATTTATAAGGAGTTTACTTGTCATTACACTAACACATTTATTGATTTTTATAAAAATATAAAGGTTGGTAGGTTGTACTATACTCTCTAACAAAAAATATTACTTGCTACACTTTATGCGTTTTATAAAAAGTTTACTTACCTTTATAACAATCAGCTTATTAATGAATTACTTACTAATTTTATAATATTTTATTATTAAAATTATTTTTGACATCTTTTAAATGATAAATCAAACATGGCAATTTGATTTGTTATTTTGAAAAGACAAACAAAATAGTGGTATTAATTGATTGTTGTTTATTGTCATTGATACAAAACAATAAAATTGTAGCTTACTTATCATTTGTCTATGAGATCAATAGGGGGGGATCTTTTTGAAAATTGTAGGGTACAAATTTTGGGCCCGCAAGTCATGTTTGTGTCCACACAGAATTGTACATGTAACATTGTGTTTTATTTTTGGTTGCAAAAAATGTAAACTTTCATCATTACTCTAATGCTAGTGAAATGTTTGTGAAGGTCCGAATAAGCATACAATGAGGTTTTTCTTAAAAAAAAAAAAAAAAAGGATATGTACATGTTGTTTCGCATTGAGTTTTTTAATTCTTTTCCAATAGTTGTGTGTGTCTTGTATTCGAGTGATATTAATTATCATAATGTTAGTGAAGGTTTTAAGAAGGTTTGAATAAAGATCTATGTCAAACGATTTTGATCTTCGAACATGAAATTGAGCTATAATTAATTAATTATAACTGCTCTATGTTGTCTAATTGACTAGACACATCAAGGCATTGAATCCAAATTTTATATAATCCAATACAAGTATATAATTAAACACATAATCCATGAG